TTAAACCCTTTACATTTCCGATAAACCATTTAGGGGCAAAAGTGGTTTAAATTAGCAGTAAATTAAGACTTCATTGAGGTCCAAGTCAAAAATAAAGTGCGAGTAAAGAGAATGTGGTCGTCTAATTTTCACAAAGCCTTTTTCTGATTGGTTATAAACTAAGCGAGTAGCGCCTCCGCCATCTCATTTCTAAACACTAATGCAAAGAGACGTGCCTGGGGAACAGAGACCTGGCTGATATAATTACAAATTCTCCGGTGAATTCCATCTTCAGCCAGACTTGGAAACGAGAAAGTGTGTGTGTGTGCTTGTGCATGTGTGACAGGAACATGACAGAAACAAAACATTTCGCAAGTGGGGAAGAAGTGTGTCTTGACACTTATTATTCCTCCTGGTCCACGAGTCCTAGTGTGTGGATGAGGAGATGTAATGGTGGATTATATTATTCTCCTGGCGCTGTGCATTCACGATTCCTCTGTTTGTGTGTGTGTGTGTGTGTGTATGTGTGTATGTCCATACAAATGATGAACCTCCAGGCAGAGGCTCATTTGGAAACCTCCAGGGGGTCTTGTCATGGAAGTGCAGCGAGCTTTAGGCGAAGCGAGACAGCAGGACAACTGGGAAGGTCCAAAAGGGCTGCGCTGCGGCCCGCACTCACATCATATGTTTGTTTAGCGCTCAGGGAGACTGAAAAGATGCTTCCTGAGAGAGACTTGGCCTTTAACGAGAGAGAAAATGCTATATAGGCGCACAATAGACAAGTTCCCATGGAAGTAGCAGGTGCCACATCTCATAAGGAGGAAGAGAAAATTTTACCCTTGTGTACTGTTCAAATGCACTATCCTTTCGTTATGTTCAAGGCTGTTTTTGCCCCATTGACCTCCATTATAATTACATTTTTTATTGTAAAGCAACGACAGCATATAATCATGCATTCTTGATTGATGCTAGTTTACCCTGTTGATCATCTGTTTTCAGCATTAACCCTTTAGACAGGCCTAAGCAAACATGGCTTTTATATAAAGTTCTGTGGAGTTAAATATCAGATTAAAGTGCATGTGCATAAAAACATTTACTATAACATTTATTATATACTGAGAGCTGAGCTGCTTATTTAGATTTTCTCAGAGACATATTAAGATAAGTGTGCGAAGATCCATCATTCATCCAGATTTTTTTTCCTGTTCATATTGACGTCAACATGAACCAATAGCAAATATGAAGCTACAGATCTGGTAAAACGCGAACATGCCTTTCCCTTCAAATTCTAGCAGAGTGTGGATGTGTGTGGAACTGATCCTGACTGAAGAGGAGTGAACATTAATGAGTGCATGTTCTGGTGATTAATGCAATAATGCTAGCCTCCAAGAGGGGATTTGTTAGCAGTTTGTTAAAGGAAGGATCAGAAAAGATTATTGATGTATGGGACTTTGTCAGAGCTTGACAGGAACTTTATTAGTACACAGTTCATGGATCAGTTTCTTCCTCCATTTCACAAGTGTAAGTAAGTGCGATTAAAATGGTTGCCTCCTTGTTTTCTCTAGCTTGAAAATATGTATTTAATTGTATTTTGTTACTTGTAACCGCTCAACATGGCTTGTACTGTATTCTGATTAACTCTTTATATTTACATATTGCCTCTAAAGCCACGTTGAAAACCCGGCGTGTGACGATTTGTTTACAGAGTTAAATGGGTTTGTGATTCTCGCAATCCTCTGCCGTTTGTTGTTGTTATGGCAACCATCAGCTGTTCCTATACACGTGCAGCGGTCAAGTTTCAAAGTATTCAGATTTTGTCATTGTGTGGATTAATACTGAATCTGTGTCATTGTTTTTACTTATCGTTATGAATACAGCAATATTCTCATGTTTAACTGCATTGTTCTGCACTCTGAATACATCAATAATGTTGATAAGCTATGGTGGGCGTTTCTCTCTGTCTCACATTGAACGCAGTCGAACAATCACAACAGATTGGGTCATCGGACCACTCAGCGCAGATTAGCATTTTGCTAAGGAGGGGTTTGGGAACAAATGAATCGCTGAACTAATCATATGGGAGCCGTTGGGATAATTAGGTAAAAATAAATGCATATTATAAGACTTTGAAAGTGTTTTTTTGACCTTGCATGCATATCAGCATGTTGTTGGAGACCCCAAAACCAAACTATGACCTTTTATAATGCAAAATGAGGGTTCTTTAAAATTTTACCTAAAATTGAAAACCAGCAACAATTAAGAATGTATGATTTTATGGTGTATGGCTTTGCAAAAAAATAAAAAAAATCAATATAATGAATGTCAATGGGGCAAAAAAAATCTACAAACTTAACAAAAAGAGTAGTAAAATCATTCCACTTGCTGAAACACAGAGAATGTTGTGGGCAAATTAAGACTCAAAATCACCTCACAGTGGATGAAAACATCCCCAACATTACACAAGGTTTAAAAAAAAATGAGAGAAAAACAAAGTGAAGGATTAGGAGAAAAGCAAAACAGACATATTGACAATGACAGAAGGCCAAAGTGCAATAAAAAACGAAGGAACTGACTTCTAAAGTCCCATCACACGACAGTTCATCTCACAGAAACCAACGCCGGCACCAAAGACCACATGATCCAACCAGAAACAGACAAGCAAAAGTGTGAGCTGGAATGTCATTGAGGTGGTGCCGTCCTGCATGCTTCAGACATCTGGGGTCTGCCGTTGAGGCTCAGGATCGCTGAGGGTGATGACAGAAGCAAAGCCCCTCTGAGTCATGCTCTACATATGGACCTCCGGGCTACATCGATTGCACTTCAGAGACAAGCAATCGGTACTGTGAAATACTAGCAGGCGAAATGCTCCACACCTGTTAAACTCATGCGCTGGAGTATTTCCTGAGATTCTCAGTTAGTGGGGGAAAATGGGGCCTAAGAGCTTAGTTGTGAATTGAGTTTGTGGAAACACCAAAAATCACTCAAAGGAGGCTGGTAACAAAATGGAATGCTAAGTTAATGAGCCGTGAGATGCAGACAGCAAAAACACTTTCCAATGCACAAATTTCTCCCCTTACACTGTAAACTTATTGTAGTTTTTTTATGTTTGTAATATTTTATCTTATGTATTCTTTAAACATTATGTATATGTTTTTATTTAGTTTTTTTTCTGTGGTGAAATGCTTTCTCCTAACCTGGCTTAATGTTCTATAAGCAAGCCATTTGAAGGTTGATTTCCCTGGTGGCAGCATTTCTCTGTTAGTTTGAGCAGCCTGGCAAAGCTATATTGACTTAACCGAAGGAAAGGCTGGAAAATTTGTCTTAAAATTAGAGAAGCAAGAAATTATATACAAAAGTGTCATTTATTTACTCATCCTTATGTCACTTCATACTTGTTTTTCATAAAAAAGCAGAAATTCTGTACGCCCTGTTGGTCGCTTTTTTTGTCAGAAAATTTTGATCTTTGAAGACTGAAGCTTTCAATGCAAATGCAGCATAAAATCTTTATGGAAATTGTTGTTCTTTTGCATTTTTGAAAGGTTTAGAGTACAGTAGGACAGATGGCAATGTTGCCAAACCATCCCTGTTCACATATATTCATGAATATGACTAAAAATTGCTGCATTATGCATAACACATGTGTAGGTGGCAATGTCACTTCGTAAAGGAAAACTGCTGCTTTGGTTGTCTTTTATACTAGCATGCCTATAGATAATATGATACCCGCAATGAGAGATCATTTACACACGATTCATTAAAAAAGTTTCAATGTAATAAGACAAATTCGTGCAAAAATCTGATATCTTCATGAGCACATTTTATGGTGAAGGGTTTTCTGAAATGTTTTTTTCACTGGAATTATTTGGGAGGAAATTGACAAACACATTTTCATTTTTTTGCAAAGCAGAGAAAAAAGGAAATTATACCGGTTTAAAAGGACATATATGTATAAATTATGATCTTGATATCAAGGAGAAATTAAAACTCTTCTCATTTAAAATAATCACAATTCCCCTAGGTCAGTGGTCCCCAAACTTTTTATCTTCACAGGCTGGTCAACACTTTGCAATTTACCGCAGACTGGGGGAGGGGGGTTGGGTGATTAATAGGATTCTAGGCGACCATCTGAGGATGACAAGCTGACAAAACATTGCTGTCACAGTGATACAAGTTTGATTTATGGAGAAAAAGCACTGCAGTGTTTGGGTGTTCTGTGTTTGTCCGAGATAATTAGTCTAAATGTGTTATTTCATACAAGGCATGTAGTTGATCGTTCAGTTCTTGTCATGACTTGCAGTGTGCTCGCGACATTCATTCAACAGGGTGCATCTGGAAGGCGCAAGCATTTCAGCTCTATTGAAAATAACAAACTTGTGCGATCTCTAGAAAAGACGCAATACGTGAATGCCCCATAAAAGGCAGCTGTCATTTGCAATCTCCATCAGTTGATCTTCTTGCACAGACATGGAGGATTCACCTGATTTGTTGACAAATGCGCTGCGGATCCATTCCTTGGAAGTTTGTTGTTCCTTCACTGGGCCTTTTCTCCCTATCAAAGAAACTTTCCAAAGACGTCTGTTTCTTACTCATTTTGCTGCTTGTGGGTTAAATTTGAGCTTTCATGTGACCAAGATGTAAGCGAGAGAATACGGTCATTTTTTAAAATAAAAGATCGAACACACTCGGATTAAAAAAAAAATGGATATATTTAACGATTTCTTGTGCGGCCTGGTACCAATTGATCCACAGACCAGTACCAGTCCATGGCCCGTTATTTGAGAACCACTGACCTAGGCGGTACATTAGCATAATGAGGCTTTGGTTGAATGGAATCCAACAACCACCTGCTGTACTTCATTTATGTGATTCTACAATAAATAACATCACACAAATCCTTTTAGGCCAATCAGATGCACCATACTGCGAATCCTGCCTGACACCCGAGTAACAAGCATCGAGTCGAGTGGGTGTTACAACCAACAAATAAAATGAAGTTATATTCCAATAAGAAGATACAGTACCTGGGGAGAAGAAATCTGACATCTTCCTCTTGTAAATTTCATAATCTGTCTCCAGAAAGACGCAGAATATGACACGGTCGATCTGTAGAAAGAGCAGAAAAGAGGCATTTAGCATAATGGAAATCAATGCATCTCTCTGTAAACACATGGCTGAGAGCTACGCTATTAATAAATATGAAAGTCCCAGTGCTCAAGCCTGTCATAACTAGAGCTCATGGGACTCGTTTCTGACATTGCAGCATTTTAGAGAATCTTTTTTAAAGTTAAAATCCAAATCTGTTAAAGGATAATTCTTAAACAGTAATACAAAATTTATTCAAGCTAAACTTTTGACTCTCAATCAATATACACAGAGCATTAGGTGGATATCAATAATTTTGGAAAACATTTACTCAAAAAAATATATGCAGTTAGAAGAATACAAGTTAAATGTATGCAATATGAGCATATTCTGTAATGTATATACAGTACTGATTGTATTTATGTGATGAAGACTTTAAGGCTATGTGAAGCTTAAAAATAAATGACATTGGAAAACTACAAATCATTAGAAAAAAGAAGAATATGGTCATAACTGAACACCAGTGTTGTGATTTGTGTATGTAAAATATAGATAGCATCAAAAAAAAAAAAGCCTTTCATGCAATATTAAAAAATTCAAATGCTAAAAATCTATACTTTTGTCAAAATCATAAAAATAAATAAATCAGTAAGCAATTTCATTTTTTTAAGTAAAACATAATATTTATAAAAACTTAATTTAACCAAATTTTAAAAAAAAATTACAACCTAATTTTGTACAAATATCGTGGAGCACACTTTAAGCCCTGTCGTCTATCCACGTTTTAGGAACAACAAATGTTAACTTGACTTCTAATTGATCATTTGGTATCAGAAGTGGCTTATTTGAAAGGCAAAGATCTCTAGATTACGCTTATTTCACCAAAATAAAATATGATTGTGCCTTGATTTATTAATTATTAATTAGGACAGCATGGTCTGACTGTGTCACTTAACAGAAATAATGTACAGTATAGAATATAAAGTCATGGTACAGTGTAAAAATAATTAATATTGTCTATGACTCCCATGAGCTTGGAGGACTGCATCCAAATATCCCTGCAATGACACAAATAACTTATTTCATCTGGAATGGCGAAGAAAGCGTTCTTGCAGGACATCCAGAGTTCATCAGCATTCTTTGAATTCCACTTCAATGCCTCCTCCTTTATCTTACCCCGCATGCTCAATAATGTTCATATCTGGTGACTAGGCTGGCCAATTCTGGAGTACCTTGACCTTCTTTGCTTTCAGGAACTTTAATGTGGAGGCTGAAGTATGAAAGGGAGTGCCATCCAGTTGAAGAATTTGCCCTCTCCCGTGGTTTGTAATGTAATGGGCGGCACAAATGTCTTGTCCAAAAATGGCTGTTGATGTTGCCATCCACTCTGCAGATCTCTCGCATGACCCCATACTGAATGTAACCCCAAACTGTGATTTTTCCTTCAACAAACTTGACAGATTTCTGAGAGAATCTTGAGAAACCATGCCGGTTAAAAAGGGTCTTTTTTTGGGATGCAGTTCAACAGATTATTCATCAGAAAAATCTACCTGCTGCTACTTTTACCAAATGATTAACTACAAGTCAAGTTATTATTTGTTGCTCTTACAACTGAGATCGACGACAAGACTTTTGTCAGGTAGATGATCTTAAGACTAACATTTTTTTTTTTTTTTAGGGGTAAATTAAATAATAAAACACTGAAAAGAAGGCCAAAAATCCACAAAGACCAACTGGAATCACTGCATTAAGGCATAGAGAACATTATAACACTGTTTCAAAGTAAAGGTGAAATAATACTGCATATTCATTCAGTGTAACAGATATATGTACAAATTAAACAACACACTTTTAGGCTTTATTTCCCATTTGTATTCAATTAAGAACATGGTCTAGATAGGTTGTACAATAAATACATTCAAAAGAAGAGAGCACTTTATCATTCATCTCCACCCTTCACTTCCTCCACTTAAACTCAAACTTCTAGACATCTCTAAACATGGCTAACCAGACTGCAATACCACTTGGTAGAACATCAAGACTGAAATTAAAACATTAAACCTCCTAGCATTCCCTTATCACTGCAGAGACCGGATCCTGAATTCGAGTCCATCTCTTTCCATTCCGGACCACCCAGACCGGCCATCCTGCTTGAGATCTCTATGATTACTCTAGTTCAACGGGGATCTCTACACAAAACCCTCTTTTGATTCTTCCCATGTTTTCAAAACAAAGACTTCAAGTGAACATGAGTATAAAACAACACAAAAGACGACTGCTGCCAACCTGGTGGGAATACGTTGTATTACTAAAATCAAAGATCCAGCAAATGTTTCAATAACAAACATTTCCTACATATTTGCATATGCTCAGTGGGGTTCAAAAGGTTACATTAAAAGTCTGAATCTGAAATGTCATACAAACCTGAAAATAAACAAAGATTCAGGATCGTGAAAGAAAATTTTACATATGTAAAATAAGTAAAAACAAAATTGCACTTTTCATGACTTTGACCATGTAAATTGATATACAGAGGGCCAGAATATAATAAAGGCATTTTCAACTCAATTAAGACTTTTACTTAATTATACTGATAATATAATCTAACTTTTTATTTGAAGAATCTAACTAAGGATCTGTGAATCCTTGTAGCTAACTTATGTGTGTGTTGCTTTCAGTAAGCAACCATTCATTTGTGCTGTGTTTTATTTTCAATTGTTTATTTTAAATTATTTTTCAGTTAATTAACTTATTGATTAATATGTCCATTAGTCATTTATATAATTATCATTATACCATTTTAGTAATTATTAGTTATTTGATTTTATTATTATTTGTCATTTGATTATGTATATCACTATTTTATTATCACTATTTTCCATTATAATTGCTTAATCTTTTTTTCTTCATATTACAATGTTACATGTTACAATCTTATGATTTTGTGGATTCAAGCGACACTTGTTTTTTTAAAGTAAGAGAATGTCTCAATGTCCATACCTGCCAACACTCTCGTTTTTCCTGGGAGTCATCCGTATTTTAGATCCATCTCCCATTTTGTTCTGTCTCCCGGAAAACTCCCGGAATTTCAGTCCGAGCATTGAAACATACGCAACTATGATTATTCAATAAATGCTGCTGTTTCTTTATCACTCTTACTTCGTCTCCTAATTCTGCTCTTCTCTGGCTTTCTCAGTCAACTCTTATGTTGATAGGAGATTGTTAATTCAATTGAATACTGGTTAACAGGTTTGGGCATTCAGCAGCTTGTCTGGATACCCAGAGAAACAGATATTTTCTGACAGGATCTGGCATTCGGAAATAGATCTAATTTAACTGGTATGGAGAGTGTAATCTAACACTATGTTGACTCAACAACAATGCACTAAAAATGTTTTATGTACAGAAAACATGATCCCATTCGCACATACCTGTAAAAACAAATGCTAGGCCAGGCCAAAAGTTGGCAGTGTCAGTTTTTAAAGAAAAAAAAAATTGCACATATGTTTCTGTAGTTATGCTATAAGCACCTTTTTCAGCCTTATATAGACATTTAGTACACATGTGCATGACCTCACCATTTTCACAAATGGGCTTTCTTGTAATTTACACTTTTGAAGTTTCCACAAAACTTCACAAAGTGCTGTTTAGATAAATGAACAGCCAAAACACACACAAAAAAAGTAGCTGTAAATGTATACATTTAGGTCATGTAAATATACCCTTAAAACAGCAAAACAGAAGTATTACACAGTATAAACCACTGTTTAAAACTGTGATGATCACCTGTAGATTACGAGTTCCTATAAATATTCATTCCTGCCCTAAAAGACCACCTTTAAAACCAAGAAAGGTGATACTTCCTCTCTGTCAACTCTAAGAGTCCTTATCAGCTCTCCCTCTCCGCCACAGGTACACCCCTCTCTCTCTCTCTCTCTCTCTCTCTCTCCATGGAGGAAATGTGCCTCCCAGGGAGACGTCAGATAATCGCCTTGCTGAATATTGCAATATTCCCAGACAGCCTTGTAATGGCCTCTCTCGTCTCGTCTGCCTGTGGATGGAGAGGGAGATAAAGCAGGACTCCCAGCGGGACAGCGAAAGACCGGACCACCTCTTCTCCCCCTTACTGGCAAACCACATGAGGATTCAATATAAAAATCATTTTCCCTTACAGGCTTGCGCAGACAGACAGCTGTCTATTAATAGTTTATGGCCTGCCCTTTGGAGTAAATGTTAAGACTTGACTTGAGACTAGTAACATTTTTATTTTTGTGCAAGAGAATGTCTCAAGGGGGAGAAGAAAAAAAAAGGTGCCGCTCTCTTTTTCCTCCCCACGTTTCATCCTTTCAACTCAAAAATGGGAATGAGATACATCTTTAAGATGGATATAAAGAGCCAGGACCGGGGCAAAAAAGGGGGACAACAAAACCACAGGAATCTTTGTTCCTCTCTCAAAACCTCAAGACTGGAGGAGAACAAAGAAGAAAAGTCTAGAATGTCAATGGATCTCAACTGGATTTTTTTGGCCCAATAGAGCATAAACTTGTAATTTTGTTATTGCACCAAGTAAACAAAAAAGCCTTTAGAATGAAATCTTGAACTGGTTTGGGTCACATTTTCTTTCATCTTGTCATATTTCTGAGAATATGAAAATGTCTATTCATTTACATTTATGTAACTCCTGTCAATCTATTCCCCCACCGTAAGCACACTTTAAACCAGCATCTAGCATGGCAGGCGAGCACACTAACAATGGCACTAAAGATCGCAGTATCTAGCGTGCATTAGTAAGGAGTCTTTTTGATAACCAAAGGAGTGATGTTTATAAGCAAAGATGTTGTTAGCTGGCCTCCACTACACTCAGCCCTTCACTTCACTTCCACCTGGGTCACGGCACCAGATTTACATCTCTGATTTTACTCACTCCACTATAGTAGGATTCAAGTCCCTTTCTGGCATTAGTGGCAAATAAACTAGTGAGGATTCAAAAGAAAACAACCTCCAGCTTCTAGTGTGCCTCT